TGCCAGTGTTTCACCACCCTCGCTGTAAGATTTTTTTCCTGTTACATAGTCTGAATCCCCTCATTTAGTTTAAAGCCATTACCCCTTGTCCTACTGCAACAGAAGGAAGTTTATGTTGATTCAAGATGAGGAGATGGTAGGTGCAGCAGGGTGTTGAAGGGAAATGCAGACAATTATTAGTGAAATTGAAAAGTGCTTGGGACATCTGGGGTCAATTCAAAGCTCCACTGGAGATTTCCTGGGTAAAAAGGGGAATCCACTTGATCTCCCTATGACTCAGTTTCTTGTCCATAGAATAGGGAAAGTAGATGGTATTGTAAGAATAGATACACTAAAGGTTGCTCAGATCTTTAGAGGGGCAACAGAGAGGGATTTTTCAGAAATACTGCCAGCCCCAGAGAGGTTCTGAGGCCATTTTAGCCAGCCCTACAGCACGTTACTCCCTTATGCAATGTAGTGTACTACCTGTGAAAAGACGAACAACATTACAGCAAACCAGATTTACCAGGTATGGTAAATAAGTCGGTATGGTATGGTATGGTATGGTATGGTATGGTATGGTATGGTATGGTATGGTATGGTATGGTAAAAAAGTACTTATTTACCAGTGATTTTCAAATTTCTTTCGCAGTGCAGTCTATATACATTTCCTCACAACATGCAGCCACCCATATAGCACATACGTAGCAACTGCCAACAGGCTTGTTTTTCCCATATCCCTCGGATTCAGTCGGCGGCTCCCCTCCTCCCTCCCAGAGACCGCAGCCCGCAGGACTCCTGCGAACCTCCCCCCTCTCCAGGCTGCTGAAAGGAAACTTTTCCTTTCTTCTCCGGTGTCTGCTGCCGACTGCGTTTGGGCTTTTCCCGCAGCGGCGCCCTCGGCGGGAGCGGAAGTGTGACCGAGGTGCGGGAGTGCGGGTAACCGCGGCGCTCCGGACCCCTTCTCCCCGAGCCCGGCGGGGTTCTGGCCGCGGGATGCCCGCACCCCCCGGCCCGAGAGCCGCCTTCTCCCTCTCCCCTCGCCCCGCCAGGCCAGAGGGCTAAGCATCCGCAGCCTTCGCAGCGCCCCAGCGACGCGTCTTAACGCCAGCCGGGAGATGGGTTTCTCCTCCTCTCTTTTCTTTCAAGCGCTGGGGAGAAGTCCATTGAACTTTCCCAGGTCGTGCAGGCAGCACAACGCCCATCCGCCCTAGCTGGGATATTTCTGAGGGGTGAGGGCAATGCGGTGCTATTGATGCTCATCTCACCATTCCAGAGCAGAATTGCTTCTTCGACCTCTAGTTATGTAGTAACAAGGGGAAAATTTCCTGAAATTAGTCTACTGCAGGAACTCTGGTTTTAGTCACAGCTGTCATCCGAGAAACAAATTTCCAGGCATTTTTAATCTAATTCACTTAATTTTTATGTAACTGAATTAGAAAATGTGATTAAGCATCTCAGAATCTTCGGCATCGAGCCTGCCTAACCTTGAGTGAAACATGAAACAAAGGAGAAACTTATTAGAAGTAAGAAGAAATGGTGAAAGGTCTGTATGGATTTGGTACAATCGTTACTTACTACGTAGGAGGATTAGAGGCACAAAAGCTCACGGGGAGAAAAAAAAAAAAAAAAAAATAAAGTAA